CTGTCCTGTGGTTTCCACATCCCCTTCCTGGCTCTTAGCCCACAGAGCCTACAGCTGGGTGATCTTGCTCACCGTCAGCTCTTCAAACACCTGCCTTCATCCATCATAGGCCAGGAAAGGCCTTTACTCATTGTCCATATTGATTGGCTTTCGGTAACATTTTGAATTTGTTTTTCAATGCATGGGCTCATCATCTTGTCTGCTCATTCTAGTTTTATATTTCTGGCCCTCCTGCATATAGAAGGGAAGGGAAGGGAAGCAGAGTCCCTGCCACCACCGTGAGGCTGTTCTAGAACAAACTAGATCCTGGATTTGACACTTTGTGGACATCAGGGTCTTGCCCTGAAGGATCACGGAGCTGTCAAGGGATGGAAGATGGAAACAGACCCATGGTGAAGGAGGGAATATGCTCAGAGCATGGTTCTGCAGCTCTGTCAGTGCCACCACTGGGCTGCTGGGCAGCCCCGGGTGGGCAGATCAGGAGATGGCTAGCTTGCTGGTCCTCCAGGCCTGAGGCAAGAGCGCAGTGATCCTTTGGTCCCAGGGAGGCTGCTCGCACTGGCCAGGGCAACAGACTTTCTTTCCTCTGCTTGCTCCTTTCCTGTCCACCCTGGAAGCAATCATCCGAGTCTCTCAGGCTCTTTGCAGGGCTCTACCTACTTCGAGTCCTGGGTAAGCTCTCTAAGTCAAGAGGGAACTCAACTCACTCTGCTCCAGGGCTCCTGAGCCCCTGGGGACCAGGTTGGGCTCCAGCTGGAGTCACAATTGGGATTTAGTGCTTGGGAGGGGGAGGAGCTGACATCTACTGAGCCCAGGAACTGTCCCAAATGCCAGCTCTTGAGGGGCCAATCCAAATCAAGGGAGGCAGAAAAATGGAGTCCTGCAGCTTGGGGGGACAAGAAAGTTAGAGACCTGGAAACTAACTGTCCACAAGGGTAAGGGGCTGAGGCTGGGGACCAAGGACCACTGTGTGTACAAGATCAAGGTCATTGCTGTCTACAGGGCCCCGCAAGCCACTTGAGCACTAGGGAAACCCCGCCCTCATGAGCCACGTGAATGTGGTCCAGAGAACTGGGAAGAAGCAAGCTGCTGGTATGGCTGACGGCTGAAGTGCATGGCAAGGTTCACGCGTTGGAAGATTAATCTTCAGATTCATACGTCCATGGTTTTTGGAGGTGGGGTAACAATTAGGAATTGGTGGCTTTGTAAGGTGAAGAGAGACCCAAGCAGACTACTCTGGCTTTGTCTATCTGGTCACGTGATCCTGTCACATGAGACCATCTGTCACATTAGGATGCGACAGCCTCACCACATGCCTCTGCTGTGCTCTGGGGCCTCACAGCCTCCAGGAAACTGAGCAAGTACATTTCTATTTTTTTTTTGTGCCAGTTCTAGGCCCTGGACACTGTCCCTGGCCTTTTTTGTTCAAAGCTGGCACTCTTATCACTTGAGCCACAGCTCCACTTCCAGCTTTTTGCTGGTTCATTGGAGGTGAGAGTCTGATGGACTTTCCTGCCTGGGCTGGCTTCAAATCATGATCCTCAGGTCTCAGCCTCCGGAGTAGCATCACAGGCATAAGCCACTGGCCCTTGGCTCATTTTGTCTTTATAAATTACCCAGTCTCAGGTACACTGATATAGCAATTGAAAACAGACTGAGACACCCAGCCTTCAGCAGTTAAGTTGGGTGATGAACCTCAACAGCTCAGCAAGATCACAGGGAGGGAAATTCTTCTAACTGGGGCCAGGGTACAAGTGGGAAGTTGAAGGAAATGGTCTTCATCCTCTCTCCAGATTTTTTTTCCTTTTCTAGTCCTACTTTATCTGCAACCATCACAGGCTCAAAACAGCCTATTTGCAGGTGCCTGTATGCTGGAAAGGGATACAGAATGGGAGGCAGGCAAGACAGGTGTAGGGGTTGGCTCTGTGACATGTGACACATAGATCATCCTACAGAGGTATTCCTTAGGCCTCTGAAGCTGACCATATAGTATTCTGGCAGAGTAAGAGAGGCCTCCTGAGACCCTGTCTTGGATGGAGATGAACTGGAAACTGAGATGTGCACAGGGTACCTTCAGGTTGGGCCCTGAGCTTAGTGCATAGGAATAGAAAGGCAGGCTCTTATCTGAGCTCCCAGGATGTGGTGGAAGGTAGGAAGACTCGGCAGCTGGTTACAATACCTGGGCTGGGAGATTCACATACCTAGTAAGCCTTGAGCGAACTCACAGTAAATGGACGAAGGCCAGGTGTGAGGCTTTCATTCTGCTCAGGAGGGGCAGGCACTCTCTGCCTCTTCAGCACTGGTGGAGCCAAGACAGTTCATTTCAGTGGAACTAAGGACCCATCTTTTCATAGACTCACTGGAAGGATGGCCCAGGGGTGGATTACGAGGACAGCATCGTGAGCACAGTGCTGAGTGTGATACGTCACCCAGGAACAGAGCAGTGTAGGGTTTCCTGCTTCATGAAAGAGGTATCTCCATATCTCTTGGGACCTCGAATTGGATCCTGTGTTCCACAGCACCCAAGAGGACACCCCCTCATCCTCACAGAGGAGAGGATTTCTGACATGTGCTGGATGGGGCAGGGGTCCCTTGCCAGTTCTGGCAGGGTGGGGAGGGAATTAAGGTTACTTCACTAGCTGGGAGGCTGGGGTCAGTTTCACTGACACCCTGTGCCTCGGTTTCCCCATGGAGGATCATTAGCCTACCTGACATAATTATTTACAAGGTGAGGTGAAGGGAGAGTAGAAGTCCCTTCTCTTCCTCCTCCCATGCAGGGCTGTAGCTTCCTGCTTTCCCTGTAACTACATGGCCCTCACTCAGGTGGCCATGAATGACAGTGCTTTTTTGTTGGGGACAGGCTGAGTCAGGAAGGCTGGAGATCTGAGAATCTGCTGTGGTTAGTGGCACTGCCAGGCCCTCCAGTAGCTCAGACACACCTGAAGATGCTGGCTTCTTCCACGAGTGTCACTGACACCTCCCTAGGGCAGCTGGCGATGTCCTTGGTGCTGCTTGCTTCCTCTAGTTTACACAGCCATGGACATGAACTGGACCCAGGTTCGTAGGAAACACGGAGTCTGACCTACTCCATCATAGCCTCTGTTGACCTCAGAGAAGCTTTTTGGCCCTTCGGCCCTTTCTTTGCTTCTTTGAGGCAAGAGATAGCTGGACCACGTGGCTGAGACCTTGGAAGCTATAGGGACATTGTCACTGTAAGGTGGGACCATCTGGTTTCTAGGATTTCTGCTCCTAAACACCTCTAGAGATGGTCCTTTCTGATTGCTACCCACAGGAACTCCTAGGCAGGGCCTGGAAGAAAACACCTCAATTCTGGGACATTAGGTGACAGGAATATCACTGAAAATCTAGCCAAGGACCAAACACACATGTTCCTGGCTGTGTCCCCAGACACCAGGTCCTGACCAGAAACTGCCAAATCCATCTCGGGCCTCTTATTTTCACCTCCCACATCATTTGGGTTTAAAAGGTGAATGAAGAAGGAGAAGAAAAGAAGAAAGAAGCCAGCCTAAGAGTATGGCACCTTCTGAGCTGGCCAGCCCACAAGAGATCTGAGTCCTCTTAGCTCCCCAACACACAAGGCCTGAGTCCTGCCCGGCCCTACCTCCTGTGCATGCTTCTTCTCATCAAGGTGCTACATCTAGATCCATAGGAGTTTGGAACACTAGAAATCCATGAAAAGGGTTTCAGGTTTTTCCATACCACCCCTCTCCTTGCCTCATTTCCTGGCTTTGTCCCCAGGCTACTTTGAGTCATCTATTGATTGATGTAGAAACAAGAAAAGAGTGGATCTCAGTTTTACAGAAGAGAGAGAGAGAGAGAGAGAGAGAGAGAGAGAGAGAGAGAGAGAGTGTATCTGTGTGTACTTGGGGCTTGAACTCAGGGTTTGAGTGCTGTTTCTACCACTTGAACCATACCTCCACTTCCAGCCTTTTGCTGGTTAACTGGAGTTAAGAGTCTCATATTTTCAGTCTGGGCTGGATTAGAATTTTGATCCTCAAATCTCCGCCTCCTGAGAAGCTAGGATACAGGCATGAGCCACTGGGGCCCAGCTAGGGTTGTACAAGAGAAGCCTGCCCCAGGCTGCTTTCGAGGCAGGGCTGTGCTGGAGCAGCATGGTCAGTGTTACAGAGGCTGGTGTGGGCTTGGGCAGCTTTCCCTGGAGAGGCTCAGGTTGGGCCGAATGGACAGGTTCTTGGAGGCCAAGTGGACGCTGAGGAGCCAATGCTGCAGACACTCAGGGCCAGGAGCCCATGAGCTGCCTGAGACTGTGCTCTGCAGCAGACATGTGTGCCAAGTGCGAATCAGGTGGCTGGATGCGACTCTTCACACACAGGTCCCCAAATCCTGCAAAGGGAGGCCTCAGTGCAGCTTCCAGAGCAGAGTGAAAGCTTGCTCTTGGCATTAGAACAGTGGGGGAGCTGGCGTTTTTGAGGAGGAGGAGAAGTTCTAGAGAAAGAAGAAATTTTGGAGCAACAGACACTGGGACAGCTGTGGCCTGAACTTCGTGTTCTTGCTCCTCTGATGTGGATGTATTAATTTCCACAAATGCTGACAGCCCATTTCCCCAAGAGCTATTACTTATGTCCTCTCCCCCTGGATCTGGTTCAGCACCAGGCAGATAAATGGGAAGCAGGAAAAGGCATCTCCCACTGGTGGGTCCTTGGCTCCAGTCCCTCTCCCAACTAGCCCCTCTTCCACGGGGCCAGTTTAGGCCTGGTTTTTAAGGTGGACCTGCTAACCTCAGGGTCCAGACCACCTACATTCACCCAGATCCCTATCACAGAAAGTTACCAAATACCCAAAAATGCTGAATCACAAAGTAAGGCTGGGCAGGAAAGTGGGGGGTGGGGAGGGAGATGGTGACCAGAAGGCAGGAAAGGTGTCGGGAAGCTTCCCACCTGGAAGCGCCTTAGGACGTTCTAGGCAAAGGGTAGCCCCCACTGGAATCCACAGGACAAAAGCCAGGAGGAGCACTAAGGATGCGCCAAGACGGGAGGGTGGGCAGGTACATTCTGCTGCTGCTGCTGCTACTGCAGCAGACGGAGCTCTGCGTCCTGCAGCAGCAGCAGCAGCAGCAGGTAGGGAGGTGGAGAAGGGCTCGGTGCCAGAGTCGGGGCAGGAGGAAGAAGCTGAGGATGGGGATAGGGGTTGAGGGACGGCAGCGGGAGTAGGTGACCCAGGGAACTGGTGCAGGAAGGGACCTTCAAGGTCCTAGGACAAGGTGGAGAGAGCGAGCGACCACAGCGCAAGATGGAAGGGCCTGAGAGACAGATGCGCGAGGGACCCGTGGGGCACCGGGCAGCAGCGAGGACGAAGGACAAGCCTTGAAGAGCACTGGGGAGGGCGGTGCAGAGGATGCCGCCTGGGAGCGCGGCTCCGCCGGGGCCGCGCGCAGGCCAGGGGCGGGGAGGCTGCGGGAGGCGGAGAGGCAGCCGTGGGGATGAAGGGGAAAGATGAAGTTTGGGGCTGGGGGTCGGGGTGGCGAGCTGAGGGGCTAGGCGATGACAGACGGGGAAAGGGAGGATGGGGTGGGGGAAGGGAGACGGTGGAGAGGAGGTGAGGAGGCTGGAGAGGAGGTGAGAACGGCGGCGGGGGCCGGGGCGACGGACGGGGACCGCGGTGTCCGCCACGGCTCTCCCGGCGCAATTCCTAGGTCGTGCGCCGCCCGCCCGGGGTCTTCCCCGGTACTCACCTGGGGAGGGGGCGTCCAGCTCCGGATCCTGCGCCCAGCTCCGGGTCTTCCTTCCCGCCCTGCCCGGGAGACTTCAGCGCCCCCGAATCCCGCTCGCTCTAGCAGGTTCCGCCCGCTGCATCTTCACCTCGTGGGACGCCCGAGGCCACGCCCTTACCCTCTCATCATTGGCTGTCGCTCACGCCAGTCACATTCCCATTGGTGGAAGAACGGTCGTCCATGCAAATCAGGACGGGCCCGCCGCCGCGCCGATTGGCTGGCGCTCGCCGAGCGGAGCCCCTCGACTTGGGTTCTGATTGGTACCGAGGCCTTGACGAAAAAAGTGACGCCGCGCGGGTTCTCGGCCGGAGTGCGGCTCAGTCCCCGGCGCCTCGCGTGGGTGGCGGCG